GGACCAGATGTTGTTACCCGTGCGCTCCGCTGCCTGTTTCACACGTTCAAAAGAAGTTAGCACTTCTTTGGACCTTGGGATGAACCACTCAGTACCCAAAATTTTGGCACCCCAGGATCATTGATGCGCTACAATGCGCTTCTAGTTTCGGTTCACAAGCTGGCCTGGACGCTGCAGTTCATGAAGAGCAAAGAGCTGTTCGGAGAGCAAATCCTGCTGATCGACTGAAGTGGCCATTCGGAGGCTGCCGACGCCCACAAAGCCTTTGTCGGAGCAGCCAGCACAAGTCGACCCTGTAGATCTGGCTCTTGAGTCCTCGGTGGCTTTGCAATGCACGCTGACTCCGGTGAGGACGGAACCCAGAACCTTGCGCACGCTATCCCTCCACTCACGCGGACTGGAAGCAACACGCAAGAACAAAAAATATTGCGTCGAGGTACAGGCTTCGCAGCATTGCTAGAGCGAATTGGCTCTCGCCACACCCGGGGCCCGCATCAACATAGGCAATGCGGCATCGCCTGTCATCGGCTAGAGTTTCCAGAGCCTGCTTTACATCTGGGGGGTGATGGTGCATTGCATGCCCGCGCAGTAGTTTCGATGCCGCCGGCTAAGAACGGTGCCTCCTCTAAGGCTGATCAAGGGCTGCCCTATTCACGTATGTTGGTTTTTGACGGCTGTATCGGTCTGAAACCAATTAGAAGTAACGTAACATTCGAACAACCTCAGAAATGATGGTCCGGTTGAGATCCCAAACAGCAGGTGTAATTCTATGACTGGCCTCGGCTGCAGGCTCGGCAATGCTCCGCTCGTCCGGTTGCAAGAAGAAGATATCGGTGTCATCGTTGCCTAGCAGGCACTTCCACAAAACAGGCTCCGCAGCTCGACGCAGGATGTTCCACGCCCAACCGTCTTGGTGACAGGGCTGCAATATGAGCGTGACAGCGCTGGCAGGATTCTGTGACAGGTGCGGATTGGGAGGCAGCTTGTACTTTGCATTGTCAACCGAGGACGAAGCAACGCACGCCAGCCTGCTTTCCAAGGAGGGATCATCCTGTTCGAGGAAGGTCTGCAGGCTTTCCTGCAAGATCGACCAAACCAGGTAGCGCTTGTAGTACGACCCCGGCAAGTGGTCTGCGGCTGCATGGGCAAGAGCAAGTCCGTCTGGATGGAGGATGACTTTCACAACATCTTGCACGCCACCGATCCGTAAGGACCATTTTGCTCTGTCTCGCTCATGACACATGACCGCACGCAGCAGCGCTTTCAACCTGATGCTTCACACAGTGTGGGCACTTTGATTTCTGTAAAGACGCAGACCAATGAGAACCTCATTTTGCACCTAGGGTCTCGCTGGGAGCCCTGTCTCCCAAAGGAAAAAAGTCCAAAGGTCAAAGCATTTTCCTGGATAGCAATAGCTATCTCTGCTACCAGTGCTGCTGCCCTGTCTTCGCCACTTGACTGCCCACTACTCCTTTGTTTTGTTGGGGGGGGCACTTAGTGTTGAGGAACAGGGCTTACTCTGTCTGCACTCAAGCTGCGAGCTCGTGAGGAGGTGCTTGATACGCAGCTGCACAGGTGGTATTGGACAATCCTCGCTAATGTAGCTGGCGAAACTTGCACGCAAGATATCGTCTTTGTCGGGTTCTTGGAAGATTGCCAAGGGAGCCCAGGCAAGGCTGCGCTGCAGTGTGCGAGGATTCTGCCGAACTTGAATCACAGACAACATTGCCCTCTTTGCAGGGAGAATCCGTTTCCGAAATCTGGCTGGAAAGTCCTGCTTTCGCAAAGTCATCTCCGAAAAGGCAGATCACAGCCACAGCTCTTAAGTGGATACGTCACATGAGCAAAGTGTGCAAGTTTGAAGAAAGCAGGGGTTGTCGAAATACAAGGGACAGTAGGTTCAATATTTTGTTTTGCAATTACCACATTCTCCTGCACAACCAGCGCGGCCGCGGCTGTGCGCAAGGCTTCGAGCATGTCCATGGTGAGATCATGGAGGTGGCTGCAGTCCGCATGCACCTCACGTCCGTGTCTGTTCATGAACTGGAATCTTCAGATTCATCATGAAGTCTTTCTATAAGAAAACAACACCCAATCTTGACCGGCAGCAAAGGCGAATGTATGCAGGGTTTAAGGGGTCTATCTAGGCAAAGGTGACATACCAGGTGCATTTCTTACAGAAAATGACGCACACATGTGGCACACCTCTCTTCACGGTTGTTTTTCGAGGCACTGGCACTTCAGCAGTCACTGCTGCTTTGTGAAAATGCCCAGAATGCCGTGGCCCAGTCCAAGCAAAGAGCCGCGCTTCACCCCTGCGTGTGGGCAGCAGGCCTGGATGTCGAAACTGACTAACCACATAAGGCACGCTTTCGGAGCCTCGACCGAACCCGTCTCCAGTTAGTGGCGCGCTCCGCCAAATAGCTCCCTCTCGGCATCTTCCTTGATACTTGATTGTCTGCGCGTTGAAGTTAAGGACAAGCATGGCGCGGTCGCACCCAACAGCGTGGTGGTTTAGAGTGCCATGTTATGAGCATACCTCAGGGTCCCGCAGGGAGCCCCTTTTAGCTGGATGATCTGAAACAGCCTTTCTTGGACTTGTGTCAGAACTACCTGTGAGGTGGCTGATTTTTTTGTAAATTCAAAATGTGCGGTTCCTGCGTGCTCAATGAAACTTCTTGTCAACCGGATCCTTTTTGGAAATTGCCCGAAGTGCTTTCTACATTCAAACTCACTCAGAGCCACCGTGACACTTCGGCCGCTAGTGCGCCGCATTGAGGCCGAAGCTTGATGGCTCGGGAGATCGAAGCCCTGGTGACTTCCGCCACAAGGCCTTGCTTCACGAAGCCCATGATTCCATGTGCCTGGTGAAGCGGCAAGCGCCCAGACGCGCGGCCAGTCGGACTGGACCGTGAACATATAATCGAGATAATATAACTATAGTATATGATTATACAAGTGATTATATATATATGTAAAGAGAGAGAGAGAGAGAGAGTGATGATAGGTTATCTTAGATCTACCTTCCAGCAACTGCACAAAAGCAGTGCACTCCAACAGCTTTTGACAACCCGATGGTGTTGACTCACTGCGAGCGTTGTGTGTTGACTCAGCACGTGCGGTTCTCAAGTCTCCAGACTCCAAATCCCTTCGCTTTCGACGCAGACTTGAGAACCTCAAGGATCCCCAACCACCGCACCATCCGAAAAAGAAATGCAAACCTGCTTGCAAACCCCCCTGCTTTTGCTTGCTTGCTTGGATATACTTGGATGCTTGCTAGGTGAAACATCTCAACAGCACTTGCTGGCGAGGGAGAAGATTGCTGTTCTGGCTTTAGAATGCTACTTACACTTTGAAACCACTTGCAATCATCTCTACCCCGGCAGCCCCGCCTCCAAAAATCCTTTCAGAGCTTCTCCCGCGCCAGTTCCTGGATTTGACATGCCTGAGGACCGTGAACCGATCCCGCTCAAATCCTGAAAACCATTGACGAAAATCGGCTGGGCCTCTACCGGGACCACGGAACGAGACACGGCGAACAGAGTTCGACGAAAAATCGCGTGAAATCCCTTGGTTCAAAATGTTCGAACTGCAACAGAGTCTAACTTCTGCGTGAAAACTCGTGCGATGCAAGTGGCAAATAGCGCGGACCACGTCCACTGGATACATAGCCTGGGTGTGAGGAAGTGACGTCTGCACCAACTCATGTGGTGGTCCTAAAACAAACACGGAAATGAAATATGTCGTAATATGTCGTTTATATCTTTAGATTGTTTTATCTTGTTGCATGTGATGCTTTTCGAAGAAATCCTTGGTCGACTTCAACTCGCTTCTGTCTTGAAACTGGAAAGCTTCTGTCTAAAATCTATCCGAACTGTCCGTCCAGCAGTGATCAAGGGGGTGTCTGCCTTCTTCCCTATGCCCCAATGTCATCTCCATGACATTCCCGAAGCATACCCAAGGTGCGACTAGCAATCTAGAACACAGTACCAGGTACTGTGTTCTAGATTGCTAGTTACCAAACGTCCATCCACAAGCTTCCACTCGCAAAAATGGTACAAGTAGGCATCGATAGTCCGAGACTGGTTGCCACAACCCTTGACTAATTGCATCATATTGCATCCAATTACAGAACTTTGTTGGGTTGTGTCTTACATTTTCACAAAAAAGGCACTGCCTTTCAAAATGGGAGGTGCCTTCCCCCCTCTCCCATCCTCTCCCCTCTCCCCGGTCTCCGGCCCGCTCTCCGTACGGCCGGACGAACGGAAGCGGTTTTGTCACGCTAAGCTCAGCCGTGGCAACGATCGAAGTGACCACCGCTCCAGCGCAGATGGGCGGGAGAGTGTCGAGAGGACCTGCCTTCCTCTTGGGCGTCGACATGATCCTCGACAATCACGGTCGAGTTCCGTTTTTTGCGGGCCGATGTTGGTGGGCGCACGAAGGAAAACGACCATCTGAGTACCGATCATTTTACGAGTCGACCGATCGAAATGCAGTGGGTGTTACAAGAAACGACCGAGGCTCTGAGTGCCAGTCTTGGATGAACGAAGTGAAGCAAAACTGTCCCTTTGAGCTACAAATGCGCTGCGGCCGGCGGCATCCGTCTTCGAAAGAATCAGAGGGAATCAGAGAGAATCCGCTGCTCGAAAAGCGTTTTGACCTGGACCCTCCCAGGGGGTCCACGCAGGAACTCTCTGCCAAGTCGTGAAATGCATTGCTGCATAACAATTGATCGAATATGATTCATATGATCGAACTAAGTTCCCAGGGCCTCATTTCTAAACAAAAGGTTGGACTCGAGTGACTCGAGAGCGGATGAGAGCGGTCTACCCAACAAGTAAGGATGCGAACGAGACAGCCTATGCGCCAGCCAGCGCATCTGAACCTATGAAGTTTTCAGCCTCTGTCACGTGCAGCTCTAAAAATGGAGTCTCCGGAGGGACAGTCCTTCATAGTCAGTCCTTCCTTCCCTCCTTTCATCGCATCCGTCTCGCTCTCGCCTCCCGTGGTTCCTCTAGCAGAGAACCACCGTGATGCACCTGTGGTCGAGTGGAGATCATCGCCATCGAAATCACAGCTTCCCTAGGTCGCCACTTAACCTATAAGTCGGGTATCAAGAAAAAGACAACATGGTCAGCAATCGTCCCCAAACTGAGATAACATCTACCGTACCCAAAAGAGAGTTGAAGCCTAGAATACACAAGGCATCGGCAAAAAGTTGGGAACCAAGGCGATAGCTCCAAGCGCATAGACGAGCATGCCATCGTGTCCGGGGGTCTGTCATTGTCGCTTTAAATACATATAGTTTAATATGCCGACTTCTTTTTTTTTGGAGGAAAATATCTTCGCTCCTTCAATCTGCGCGTGCATCCATGTGTGATCTCACTCTTGGCACCTGTGTGCTCATGCTATCATATGCCACTCACCAATATCATCGATCGTGCCAACTCCCCCAAAACCGGTGCAGTGCCCACCGTGGCTCGTATCGGCGGAGCCGGTGGACGGGATGTCCCGCTTGGGCTCGGTCTCCCGTTGGAAGAGTTGAGAAGCACTTGAATAGACCGTTCGTAGCGTCCGATCGCCCCGTTCGTCACGATGCCCTTGTTACGTTCGTAGCGTCCTTGCTACCAGTAGAAATGCCGTTTGCTCCTAGTAGCCTTGGGAACCCGGAAACTTGGTCAACAAAAGGACCTTTTTGTTGAGAAGGGCTCTCCAAGATCGCTTCGTGGAGATTCCAAAGTTTGTCAACAAACACTCAAAAGAGAACAAAAGCGTCTTTCCAACCTGAAATCCCAAAAATCAAACCCATAAATCCATCAACATATTCCAAATCAGAAGGAAATCCACAAAATCTCCAGGCCATCTCAAGGCCATCACCAGGCCCCCCTCCTGTTTGCCTCTCCGATCCCTCGATAGCCAGCGAGGTAGGGCGCCCACCTCGAAGGGGCGAAACCCCGGTCGACTGGCAAACAGCCGGTCAAACGGTGTCAAGAAAAGGCTCAAACAGAAAGACAGTCAATATAGACATATAGTATACATATATTATATATAATGTGTATAGTATATGCATATAACATCATATGATAGTATAATACAGTGTGTACATATATACATAGTACCGTGCGCATGTCTATCCGACAATCATTTAATGAAAACCGAACAAACCCTGCAAGTGTAGATCTTCAAGCATTCTTCTGGTTTGGAAAGTACCTGAGAGCTGTTGAAGAAGTGAAGAAGTTTACTTTAGGGTGGAGGCCATCGCAAGTAGGTTGGAGGCCATCGCTACTAAGCTAGTGTTCACACCTTTTGAGGGAACCAGATTTTGTTTCGCCTAACTGCGCTCTTCTGCCAGGGCAGTTTAATCCAAGGGCTCCGTACTCTCGCTTGGTATCTTGCGGAGCACCTGAGCTTCTCAAGCCCAATTTGCACAGCTTAAAAGCAAAATTTGTCTAAGGGAAGGTTCTGAAGACTTCTGGTTCTGCATTTCTAGCGTTTCTCACACAAAAGTCAACTAGATTAACCGCACGAGTTGGAGAACCGCTTCAGCCGCACGTATCACAGATCCAGTACCTGCAGATAACATCAAATAGCCAAGGCAGGTGCCCCACGAATTGTAGGCATGCTGCGGAGCTTCTTCTCTGTAGCAAATCTCCTATGCAAAGCCAGCGTGACTTCAGCGTGATGGTTCTTGCGTTTGTTCAAGAAGTAAGGTTGTTGTCTCAGGCAAAGGGTGCAGCAATGAAGGCCAAATGGCTTATCTCACTCCGACTTGGCTTCTAATGGCCCAAAAGGTGCAAACCTGAGAACTCCTTGTTGTGCCTGAGCCTCGTGACCCCTAGAGTTAGAAGTACCATCAGGCTTGAAATCACAAACCTTCCTTCATCTGCTTCATTTCGCTGGGTCTCCCCCCCGATTTCGGAACAAACCCAAGGGGGGTGACCTTTTCTTTTGGGGGGCAGGTTCTTTTCAAGAGAGGTACGGTGAAGCACCCCTCATCGCTCACGTGAGTCACATGGATCATTTCGAGAACCCGTGCACCAAACCAAACCCACCCCACCCAAACCGAAGAAGGGACGCCGGGGACCTTCGTTAGGTCGTCGACCTCGCTCCCTCGTCCTTGGCAAAGCCGAGGAACTTCTTGCAAAGGTCCAAAAGACCCAATTCTCGGAGCACCGGCATAGCGAGACCTCGCATTTGCTTTTCGAACGTCCGGGCACGGTCCGGCTCCGAGAGCGGCGAGAGATTGTCCGTGGTTCAGTCAAAAAAATGGGTGTGTGTTTCTTTCGGCTCTCAGGCATCTGAAAAAGCACAAAAACCGAGGCGAGGAAATGCTGCGACCCTTCTTTAGTATATCATGAACACACTGCGGCAAGGGGACCATCCAGCAAAAATGCAACAAAAGCATCCAAGAACAGGCTTACCACACTGAGTGCCCCCTGCATTCATCCAGTAGCCGACAGACCCGCGAATCTCGCGTCGAGGGGCTGAAGGGCCTGAAGATCAGGGCGGTGTGAGGTCAGTCGCTTCAGCATAATTTCATCTGGTGAATTGATTTCTTGAGGTTTCCGATTCTGCAAGAGATGACCATGAAAGGTTGGTCGTTTATTCTGAATGGTCAGCCATTGTCAGCGTCATTCACCCATGTCCAACCGGCATTGCTACTCGGCACCCTGACCCCAGTGGCAAGCCCAAGGACAAGGCGGCCAAAAAACCGCCGCAGTCCTCGCACCGTTGGTGACGTCGGTTTTGACGCGGAGCGGAACAGGACGAAACATGACGAGTGTGGAAGTCCCTCAAGAAATTCAACCGCTATTCCGGCTATTCCCTATGGCAATGGCCTCTAACCTAGCGATGGCTTCCAACCTAAGAGCGATGTCCCTCAAAGACAGTTCAGCTCTTGTCCGATTCAGTCAGATCCTCTTTAAGTCTTTGCAATCATCAACCATGGTTGATTCACACTCATCTGAGCCACCAATTTCCATGACAGGTCCAACCACTCGGAGCCAAAGTCGGTCCTCCGATTGGTTCATGGCCAAAGTCATTGCCGCCCGCATCAAGACTTGCTGAAACTCCACAGGCAGGGTGAGATTGTTGCACCTGGCCAAGCGGCCCACAATCTTGCTTGGAACCGCCAGAAGGAAAATTCCAACTACATCAAACTGCCGACCTGTCAATGTATCAAAAGGTATCAGTTCAGGGAGCCGCGATGTCGCCCACTTGTTCCTAGAAGAGAATTCTGCCGGATGGACCATTGCTTCCAGTAGTTCACCGTCTTCGTTTCAAACCTGCCATACGGTGATAGCTGATTGGGACTTTCTTCCCTACACCTGTTTCATACAGTGCAGGACTGCCCAACTTTCGTGGCTTACCAAAGAAAGGACCAGGTTGAGATCTTCAAAGCATGCACCTGGAAACAAGAATGCCACTAATTAGGAACAAAGGGCATCGCTACTAGTAACAAGAAGCTACTAGGAACAAGGGATTCCCAAGTGATTCCGAAGATTGGGCACCCCACTCCAATGCCACCTGTGACAAAGAGTTCCTGAGTCCAAAGCAAACTGCAGGAGGTTGTTAAGTTGTCGAGATGACAAAAGCAACCTTATTAATAACATTCCTGGAAGCACATTGTCCTCCAAGGATGCATGGTGGCAGGTCTTGAAATCGTTGCAATCAGGCACAGCGACTCCGACTAGCAAAATAGATAAGAAGCTCAACCAAATAGCTCTTGCTGTTTTGGCTTGGAATCTTCCCACCACTGCCCAGTATATCTTGACCCACTGCGACCAAGGTGTTTTATGTACTTTGATCTTCAAAAAGCTGTCTTTGTGACCTTTGGTCCGTCATCGTCCCTCGTGTCCCGAGGTCGGCGCGTGAAGGACTCGTCGCTACCGAAGACAATGATGACCTCATCATCCACTGGTCCGCTGAGGTGCCAGTCCAACAGCGGCAGTCCAACGCCCAGGGCATCAGAGAAGAACGACAGTTCTCTGATAGAAATGACTTTTGGTGTATATTCACCAAGTCATGAGAACCAGGGCCCTTGAAGCTCTTTGGACTCGCGGAGTTTACGAGGAGTTTGTCGGATCCGTGGTCGGAAGTTCATCTACCCCGCAGCGCAGTCATTGGAAGTTCATCTATATACCCTTCTTGACAATATCTCCGCAATGGTCTTGATAAGACAAGCCCACCCGACATCTGCGCAGTCATTGGAAGTTGATTGCTTCCTAGAGTTATGACGTACCAAACAGCCTAACTCTGAAATCTCAAGGATTCATTTAAAAAAATGCAAAAAATGCAAAACCACACTCACATATGATGACCAGGAAATGCAAAAGAAATGCATTTTAAAAAAAAAGCAAAAAAAAGGCAGCTGGTCAAAAAGAGTGCATATCAAAAAGCAAAAAAACTGCAAAAGGAAGCCAAAAAATTGCAAACAAAACGCAAAACAACAGTTAAAAAGACGCAAAACAAAAGCGAACAAAACGCACAAAAAATGCACATGCACAACCAAATTTCACACACCACCTTTTTTGTGCGATGTTTTTTCGATGTTTGTGCGTTTTATGTGCGATTCTTTTTTGCAGGTTTTGCGTTTTTTGCGAGTTTTTTTTGCGTTTTCTCAAGGAAACGCACAAAAAATGCAAACAAAACGCAAATACAAAGCAAAAAATTGCAAAGGCAAAGACCAGAACGGTTTTGATCGCATGTGTTTTGCTTTTTGATTGCATTTGTGTTGCATTGTTTGTGCATTTGTTTTTGCATTGTTGTGCATTTTTGGTGCATTTTTGTTGCATTGTTTGTGCATGTGTTTGTATTTGTTAAGTGGACAAATGTGTTGTTTTTTCGCATTTTGTTTGCTCTTTTTTGCATTCCAAGGCATCCTTTGGTGACTTGTTTTTGCGTTTTATGTGCATTTTTTTCGGGATTGGTTTTGCATGTTTTTGCATTGTTTATGCATTGTTTTTGTTTTGCTGTGTCATCAGAACTAGCTTTCGCATACATCATAATCCTAGAGGTGCCACTTCTACTGTTCCGTCTACTTCCATGTCATCGTATGGCCAACCAATGCATGCAAGCAAGCAAAGACTCAATGACCAGGCACGCCAGTTACCAGTTGTTGTAGCGAAGTCAATGAGATCCACAAATCATCCCAAATCCATACAAATCCTTATAGTCGTCTCCCAAGTTCGTCAATTGAACAGCGAAGCCCGCTAAATTATCACTCGGCCAGGGCCCCCGGGCAGGCTCATCTGCGACCAGAAAGGGTGTCTCTTCAATGACACGGCGGATGGGCATGTTCGTCGTGACACGCCTTAGGGTCGCAACTCTCAAGCGGATGAAAACCCGAAAATATGGAGTCATAAAGTTGAACTGTTTAGTATCCAATTCGATGACCAGCCAGACTCAGCCAAACATACTAGAGTTGAAGTAAGTAAACCCACAGTGAAAAGCAACGGTGGTTCTGTTTCCAGAGTGACTTACCACATGACGCTGCCACCTTGGCACTCACGTGACGAGCTCCGGGCCAGGTGAGCTTGGGACCACCTGGGAGTGACCGACTGAGCTCGTTCCGCCGTCGAGAATCGTCCATGACAAACAGCATAGATCCAAGAATAAAACGAAACAAGTGAATACTCATTGCAACAGTCAAACCATTGCATACAAGTGGCTTAAGTCAAACCAGTGCACCTAAAAAACTCACCCAAGTACTTTATAAAGATAGTCCAGGCCACAAAAGCGCACGTGCTGAGAGCCACGGGTCTGATACCCATCAGTGGAGTTGTACCTTGCAGGTATGTTGGAAAAAATGCGAGGGGAATCGTGTCGCAACAGCCTGTGCTGGAGTGAGTTGGCGACCACGGTACGTCTTAAAACAGGCAGCTATCCAAATAGCTTGTGGGAACTTCCAGTGATTGGATTCCATATGATCCTATGATCCTATGATATCCTATGTACAACATATAGAGAAATAGAGAGGGAGAGAGATGAATCATCTCAGTCATATGATCCTATAATATCCTATATGATCCTACGAAATCCTATGAATACGATTGAATACGTGTATCATCTTTCGATCCTGTGAATTCCTGATATCGATCGATCCATCGGCGCACTGAAAGGTCGGTCGGATCCGGATCGAGATCCGGGGATCCCCCTGGAGCGCGGTGAGACCCGCGGTGAAGAAAGAAGTGCCGGGTGCTCCGCAAGACCCGGAGAAAGAAAAGGGATTTGTAAGGAGAGTTTGTTGGATGTAGGTCGTTTCCCTCCCGTGTTTCTTCCTGATGGCTGGTCATTAAGCTGAATAACAGCTCAGAGATGCAAGGGCCGCAAGGGTTTTGTTCAAGTTTCTGGGAACAGCTCAGATTCGCATAATCAACGCACGGATTCGCGTATGGCGCGACGTCTCAGTCGCACCATGTCACACCGGAGCTTGACACCGAAAGACCGGCCTTCAAACGTCGGACCAAGCGGATCAGCTGAAAGGGCCGAAAGACACGATCCTTGCTTTCGTCGTCCATTCGTGGTCGCGCAAACATTCGGGATGTGCGCATCTAGAGTTTGGGTGAATGAATCTCCTTGGATCTCTTTGGCGTTTTTATCGGTTTGAGATGCTTTGAGACCTTGAGCACCAAGGTCCGTAGAATGAAAGCAAAGAAAACCTGAGCGAATTCAGATGGAAGAGCAGTGATTCGGTCATGGGCTACCCCTCCCACTCCGTTTTGCATTGTTTGATGTCGAAGGTTTAGAGTTGAGCATCGGAACAGCTCCAGGAACTCAAACTTGGTTCATCTCTACAAATGACTGGACACGGTGACCTGCTCAGGAAGACAAAGCCCGTCGACATTTTGTGGATTGTCGCTTACATTGCCCAGGATCATAGTGCACAAATCGCGGGGCAAAGTCCCGGATCTCAACCTGAGGTTGCGGAAATCTGGAGCAAGAGGCTCTAGATCGTTTGGCAAATAAGCGATATATGCTCTATATAAAATCCAAGGAATCTCTTCTATGCTGGAGGAATTTGCAGAAACAAACTATAAAGAGTTCAAAGTGTTTCCTTCAAGACTGGCATGTTGATCAGGATGCAATTCGGATCAATTCACACGACATCGCTGAATTTTGCTGAGTGCTCCAGACCACATCATCATTGCTGGTGCTCAACTTCGTAATGAGTACCGTGCTGGTACCTTGGTCCCGCCGACGAGTCCCACGAGTCCCGCGGGAGTCCCGCGGGAGTCCCGCGAGTCCGTGACGGCCAAGCTTGGCGCCCGTTCGGAACGGAGACGGGTCCCGGCCACGCCTTCATAGAGTTGTTCGGATTGATGAAAATCCTCCAGGACCACATCATAGAAGCCAGTCCTCAAAGGCCAGCTTCTGCTAGCCCTCTGGCTTAAGTAGTCAAAAAGTCCACCAAGTTAGGACGACTTGGTCTCAATCACTTCATCGAATCACATTGAGTGTCCATGAGTGTCCTTTCAAAATCATATCCACGGACTGAAAATCACACCGGCTGAAGCTTCGGACTGGTTCGAGTTGTTGTTCACTAGGCAATTGAAGACCGGATCGCCTCAGACCAGTGGGGACGTGGTCAGACACGCGCAATGTTCAAAGCCACGAAGCCTCGTTTCTTGGGCAAGACTTGGATGGGCCCAATCAGCAAAACCGCGAAGAGGAACTGGCATAAGTACAGGGTTGTCATCTTGGCTAAACTGGACTTGTTTCAATAGGAAAACACCAACCAGGGGATGTTGGTCTTCAATCTTTTCTTTTTCCAGGGAGTCTGTGGTGGGCACACTCACACACTAGAGATATTCGAGCACGTACGGCTTGAATGCTCCGACGCCCCGACGATAGAAACCCAGCAAAGTCAGGTTCCGTCCGACTCCAACGAGTCCAGTCCGGTGCAAAGGCTGGGTACAGGTGCAGAGAGCGTTCATTCGTTCCAAATTGCAAAAAGGCAAAAGTGCAAGAACCGAGAATGCAGGTCTGACTTGCATCATCCTGCAACAGCCTGACAACCTCTACAAGTGGACAATCTCTGCAACATGTTACAACAACCACAAACGCAGCAGGCACACGAATGGACGTCTCCATCAGCGATTTAGCTTCGCTGGACCAGATTCATCACTGGAGGCTTTGCCCCTCTGCTAGAATTGCAAAAATTCAAAAACTGCAAACAGTCCGAAGACCTTAGAAACAAGAAGCTACTGGGAACAAGTGCATCGCTACTAGGAGCAAGTGCCTTACTAGTAGTAACAAGAAGCTACTAGGAACAAGAAGCTCTGGAAAGGCCTATGACATCCAAATGCATCCAGTCCAACATGGCCCCTCCGCCCGACATCAGCAGCCCTCGCGGCGAACCCGCCACGCGCGGTTCGCGCCCCCCGGGGTTCGCCGCACCTCCGTAAGTATCCATGCAACACCACACGAAGCGGCCGGTCTCATCCAGCAAGGCACCAAACCTGAAGCCCGGGCAGAAATGAAGAATGAGTGAATTCGGTGGAAAAAAAGGTAAGAGCTGCCACGAGACCAGATTGGATGACAAGGTCGAGCCGACGGGTTGCGTGTGTCGCGGTGCCGTGCAGCAAGTGTTTCTTGCTCTGACCCTTTGTACGAGTGTTTTGAAATGAACACCGTCACAAAATAGGTTATTTATCAAACATCTGCTGGTGTAGCTAATGCTTACCAAGCAGTATGACACTACCAGCATCACCAACTCTGGACTTGCCTGTTGTCATATGTTGCAAGTTGAATTGGTTGTGGTTGTATTGTTTTGTCTTTCAACTTCTTCAGAAGAGAGGCGAATGAAACAAGCGCAAAGCTCAAAACTAGGACTCCTTCCAACAAAAATCGATGGGTCGCTAGGACTCAAAGGAGAGCAAGTGCTTTCTCTCCAGCCTTCACAAGGGAAGCCAATTCCAGACTTCAGTTCAGGTCAGACCCAGCCAGAACGGTGCGCCCATGCCATTCCCTGAGCCAAAGCCACATGCCATTGCCCACCACCGCCAAGTCCACCGTCGACATGGCGCCATTGACCGGTCGAACGGTTCAGAGTGAAGACGTCGACCGGTCTGTTCTTCTTGGGCAAGGCCAGGTGGTTAAGCCCATGCAAAATCTAAGAGTGGCGTCTCTTTTTGTGGTGTCTTTGGTTGGGCCTGGCAATGCTAAGCTGACGAACGCAGGAATCAAAAGTGCAAATCCTCGGCATTCAGGCTTATTGAGGGGTCATCACTCAATGTGAGTGGTTGGAGACCAGAGTGGATGCCTCTTGATTTATTCAATTGAGCAGGAATAGGTCCTCCGCTCTTCTCTGTGCCTTTGCATGAGATCATTGCACAGCGTGGCTGGAGCAGCCAGGGCTAAAATGGACCACGTTTGACAATCTTCTGGTTTGGCTCTCGTGATCTATTCCAAACTCTCGCAGTCTTGAAATGAGCTTGCTTCCCCCAAAAGGACAACTGTTTAATGCATCTGGTTCAGAGAGATGTTCTTATAGGTTCTTCACTCTGCGAGAAAAGAGACATGAACCGTGCAATTCGTGAAGTCTGCCATGCCTCCTTCTGCTGCCTCGATCCAGGCCACCAGTTCAGCCGTCTGGCGAGACGGAGAGTTCTGCCGAAACCCATCCCCGTCACGTTTTGGGTTCGTGCTTTTCATGGGCTGATTAGACGTCCCCATGACAGCATAAGATCGTAGATCTGAAATCCCATCCGCAGTCAATCGTCTTGGATCGAGTGATCCTGCCTGAACTCTGGCTTCTTCGGCTGAGCTGCTGGTTTTGCTCCTAGGAGGACCTCGCCCGTCGCCGGGGTGGATTTGGGATGAGTCAACAAGCAAAAGAACAATCTGACACATCCTAATTCTGACTGATGAGTTGTTTGAACTGTTTCAACTTCAACAAGTAGCTACTTAAATTCAAAAGCTCAGATAAGTTGACCCTGACAAACTTCCACCTCCACCCAACCTGCCTGATGGCAGTTGCTACCAGTTTGACCAAAGGAAGAAATGCCGCAAATCTGCGCATATCCTGACCCCGAGAGGCCCTCGAGGCAGTCAGCTGGCCAGACCGATGATGAACATGAACTGGAAGCTCCACAAGATCGACGGATGGATTAAATGGGTGGGATGTTTTGAATTGACATTTTTTCTACCATAATCCTCGGACGGCAGTTCTGGTTTCGCTAATTCTGACACGCATGAGACGGGCCTCGAGCTTCAGTGGCCTCTGTCAGGAACAACATCCGCCTTAGCTGAAAGCTTCTCCAGTTTTTGACCCACATCCAGCAAATGTCCAGGTTTGTGGTCAAATGTTGACCATGTTGACCATGGATGGGAGCCAGAGTTTGCAGAAAGGAGCAAAACTGGATCTCTTGTGGCGATGTTTGCTAGGTCCTTGGTCTCTTTGGCCATCCTATCATTTCCCAGCACTGAAGGCAGAGGGCTGACCATAGATTGAGACCCAAATACACTCGGAATGGACTGCCACTTTGGCCAAGCAGCGCGCGATCCTCAACCTCCAACTGGGGGTCCATCAACTGACCGAGTGCGAGTCCAACCAGCAGACCATTCAAGTGTGCATTCGCACGCAATTTTGCCGAACGTCTTTTTTTGGGGGTCAAAAATGAGTTGTGCAAAACAACATGTCAGAACAACTCTCTTTCGATGATGTTCATCTGTCTGCCCTCACGACACATCTGATGGCCTTTCCTTTGACAGCTGACACGACCTCTTCACTCAAGGTCTGTGGCGAGCCTCACGCAGGTGGATCTGGGGGCCATGTGCCCCATGTTCCTTAACGTCGAATGGGCACAAGCATCGGGCAGGTCGAGTGGGCAGCTACAATTGCTTCCCTGCAGCAGCGTTGCTTCTTTCTAGGCCTGCCCTGCAATGAATTAGCTACTTCAATCTCAAGACACTTGGAGAGCCAAGCATAAGCCCGGCACCAGTAGCAGGAGGAACCTGCAAAAATCACAAAGGCTTTTGGGGTTTGATTGGGCCCAGCAAAACGTGATGTGCACCCGAGTCCAAATGAAATGGATCTGCAGGACCTCTATGTTCGGATCTGCTTCTGTGACCTCTCTCCTCCTCCCTTCCTCCCTCCCTCCCTCCCCCCCTCCCCCCCTCCCTCTCTCTCTCTCTCTCTCTCTCTCTCTTGGCGAAGCTGATTCCCAGGCCTGGCAAGCCCTACCAAGCCGCTGGGTGCTCCCAGCTGTCCAAAGCCAGCCTGACAAGTCACTGCTTAAGGCAAAAAGCTTAACAAAAAGAGCTGTGGCAGTTTGTGCATGGCACCACGGTTCAACAAAGCTGCATATGATATGGGCAGCCAGACTGTGATGCTTTGTATGCATAATGGAGAAATATGGAGAGGTCTAGAGTCTGCAAAGTATCTAAAACGTCAGCTCAGGTCAAAGCCATTCGGCCAACCACAAAATAGGAAACTCTACATAAGCCTTACATACCATAGTTCTCACATGTTCTCACTTCGACCATGCCCTAAACCCACAAAACTACCGTGTTTTCGTCGGCTCCTTGGAGGAAGACATGACCACCGTCTGTGCAGAGAGGTCCTGCGAAACACGATCTGTTCGGTTCTCTAAGCTAAGCATCTGAGAAGACTGAAAGAAGCAAAGGTGCAGAAGTTCAGTTGAAAAGGCACCTCTGAACTTACTGCAAAGCTATGAACGTTCCCACCTGTTATCTGTATGGATTTGATGCACGTACAGCAAAGCCATGAATGGTACAGCGCAACATTGACCTAGCGCCATGTTTGGCGAAACATGACCGTTCCCGGTCCAAAGCCATCGTTCTGGCCTTTCCACTAGCTAGTAGTAACAGGTGCCTCGCTACTAGTAACAAGTGCCTTACTAGTAGTAACAAGAAGCTATTAGTCAATTTACTTTTATTTTGATTCCAATAGCTTCTTGTTACTCCTAGTAAGGCACTTGTTAATACTAGTAAGGCACTTGTTACTCATTTCCTTTCCACTTGTGTCTAAGGCATCCTCGGAGTCGCTGATCATTAGCACATTCATACGGCATACATCCGACCGACGCCGTCTTCGGAGGCATATCCAAGAGCCAAAGAGCTAGAGATCTAGAGACTGAAAAGCACTCCGGATCCAGGGCCAGGTACTAGTTAGACCAGACTTGTTTCTGTGTTGTATTGCTTTGCCTCCGGTACCAAGTAAAGAGTGAAATCTGAAAGAGTTGCTTTGTACAGGGCGATGTGGCGATGGGAATACCAGGCAAGATCCTGACACTTGCTCAAATCCACAATCTACACCTGCAATAATGCATAGATTGAGGAGCTGGATGCCATTCAGATCGAGTCCCAAGTCTGAAGACAAACAAAATTGTCTGACAGGATCTTTCAAGGCATCATGCACCTGCCATTTGGGATGAGCCACTTTGGGCTCTAGGATCACATAGCACATCAATGGCAGCCTGCCACGGCAATCATGCAATATGCAAAAGCCATGAGTTGATGTGGAGATCCGTCTGGTGAGATCCAAAGCCAGGTTGTTCCCCGTCAAAACGCGGGGTGCTGAAAGGTGGTGGCCGCCAGTTTCGCGGGGAGAACGTTCTGACTCAGACATCCGAAAAGCATGCGTCGATGAAAACCCCGTCGGTAACACAAAAACCACCACTTTTTAACCGACGCATTTTTGTCCTCATGCGCAGACTGGACACTTTGGATCCAGCTCGTGGGATGGGAATAGGGAAATTGGCATCGCTCATCGGTGTATCATCTTGCGGTGAAGACTCGTCTTCCCTGAGGTAAACCCTATCTATCTCATTTCTTGACTCGCTCCACACCCATCTATCTGCTTCCAGAGCAGGTTCGATGGGATGTCATGCTGCATGCAGGACATCGTCCACGGACAAAAGGCAAGCCGCTCTTCCCTGGCCCATCACCAGTGGCGATGCGCCGTCGCTTGGCGTTCGTCGTTCGGTCGTGGACCAGCTTTCCCTGCCTCGTCTTGAAGCCAACTGTATGTCTTTTTTTCTTTTATAGAGCTTTAGACTCTAGACCTTTCGCTTTCCTGAATCTCTTGCCTCCGTTGCAAAAGACTTATGCTGGGTATGGACCATGTCAACATTGAATTGAACGACCTCAAATTCATCACTGTGTGGAGGATGATTCAATCAAACTGTCGTTCACAGCCAGTTGACCAATTTTATATATCCAATTCAGGTCTTTGAAAAAGCTTTGTTGATGAGTCAAACAGCTCTCTGCTTGCAATAGTTTGCAAACATCTCACCTGCTATCTGACCTGCTCCTCCGTGGGGTAGTGAGCCAAAAAAACACGATAGCAAAACCTATCTATCACGGTTATCTTGGAGTCCTGAAATGCCGTGGGAAATTGACAATTCACTCTTTGCTCCAGGCTGCACGTACACCTTCTCCACCTGACAGCTGCGCAACTGTGAGGCCGTCAGCGCCTCCCCATGTGCAGACACAGGCGTTGATAGAGTAGAAAAACGTTGGAAATCTGACCTTGGCATTTCCAAACCGACCCAGAAAACGAATCACCAGGCTCAAGAACGGAATGGCTGATCGCATGAGTTGCATCGAGAACAGCAAGTCGCTGCTTAGGGGAAAGAATCTTCGCAAGAATACAAACACTTTGGACATAGGAGCAAGAAGCTACTAGTAGCTCCTGGCATCGCTACTAGTAACAAAGGGCATCGCCACTAGGAGCTTCTTGCTACTAGTATATATATAGTAATGTCCTTGTTACTAGTAGCGATGCACTTGGTACTAGTAGCTTCTTGCTACTAGTCATCACCCTCAAACCGGATCCAACATGGCTTCTCCCAGTTTGTGCATCTCGAACCGCGCATCGCAAAAGCCCGTGCATCGCTGCCCGTCAACGGCGTCCGGCCTCGGCATCGGTGTTGCAGTCCAGGACCACAAAATCTGCATCTTTCCCCGGCTCCAACGTGCCAATCCTCTCCTGGCATAGTCTGATTGTGCGATGAGGCAAAACTTGAGGGGTTAGTGACGAAAGCTACAGCTAAGGCCAACGGAGGAAGCCATCGAAAGACCGGGGAGGCCCCGTCCTAGCTGTGCAAAACTCACGCTCCTGTCCCCAAGCTCAAAAGCAAAAGGGGCTCGGAATGGGAAGTGGATTTATACAGAGTCCACATTCTCTACTAGTTAAACCGGCACGATTTGGCAGAGCTCGACTTCTCATCGCTTCTACTGGAGCTCAACCCCACTCTCGCACCTCCACCTAACCCAACCGCTCTCGACCCCGCCTCGGCGCACGCAGCGAAGGCCGCCTCCGTGGTGTACATCGACAAGGCTTCGGCAAAGGTCAGGCGCTCGGACGCGAAGAGTGCATGCTCCATGGCCTCGGCACCGAGGAAAACCGAGAGTGGAGGCTCGAGAATGCCATGCTCCACCTCTCCTATGCGGACATTGTTGCTTGTTTTCGGTTTTCACCGGAGGGGTGCGGAGAAGTCGGTTTGGTGTCCCTGGTAGGGGCTCTTTTTGCCCACTTGTTGTTTATGAACCGGGCGGAAGTTTGAAAAGAGCATGCACGGATGTGTGCCCTTTCCTGGAAGTCGCTCCTCTGGTGCTTCCTATCCCCTGGTTCTTGCACCTCCAACAAGTGGTATTTTCTTGCCAGTTGAATCACAGAATCATGGCGTTCCATAGACCTGTCGTGCAATTTCGTCGATTGCGTCGCTGTTGCTTGCGAGAAGGTCGCACCAAATCGTAGTCATTAATGTCAAGATGCATCTGCCATGCCAACCAATGGCGTTGGGGCTTCAACCGGCGCATCACTGCCTCCAGCGACATGCACGCCAGCCTTCATCAAGGTCCGCCATACATAAGCATAGTTGAAGCGCTCTGTCCCTGTCAAGCAGATTCAGACGGAGTCGGTCTTGGAGTAGCAATGAGTGCTTTCTTCCGTAAAGAGAACTGCAAAATACTGCAAACAAGATCAAATAAGAGTCTTAATAAGAGTGCTTTCTTGAATGGTACGTGACAAATCATAACAAATCCAACTTACAAGTCCATGATGTTTTCCCAGATTTCAAATCATCTCAGTTTTTCGGGACATCCAAATTCTTCGGGATCGAAAGAAACTCTGGAGGTCAGAATTTGGGAAGGCAGTCCTTGTGGTTAGCAAAATCTAAACCGGGCTCCTTAATCTTGCTAAGACGCACCCCAATTGAAACCACTCTACTTGGCCGAATCATTCAAATGAATGCATCAGGTGGCCTTCCCCAACACGAGACTTGATGATGGGCAAGTCTGACGGGACAAATTGAGGCTGAACATTTGCAATGATGCCACCCTTCGACATTCTCTCCACCAAGTTCTTGTTCAGGAACCTCCAAGCAGCATTTCCGGTTGTGAAATCCAAAAACCTTTTAGAACACCTTGTCCTCATCATCTTTCACTAGCATCTGAATGTTGACGTCAAAAGTCAAAACTGCTGTACACGATTGCACCCAATAGCGCAACCCTCGAACATCGCGGTCCATGCCGTCGTCAAAAAGGCTCAAGCAATGGCTCTGGTATACAACTTCTACCTCTGTCAAGACACCAATATTCATATCCAACAAAGGGTGTGGGTCAAAAGCCTGTAGCCCTGGTTGACACCATGTGACCCATGCTCACACAGACGCCCACATGGTGATGAAGGGGAGTATCAATTGTTCTGCGCACACCTGAAAGCAAACAAATTCTTCTAAATATAAGGAATGTCAACCTTCCATGGTTCAAAACGAAAGCCCAGTGGCTGACAATGGGTGAGCACCGGTCGTTCCGTGGAGGGCATGAACTTCTCGAAAGCATCGATCAAGTCACTGGCCGCCCGATCACCAATGGCATGAGCTTCCACGCGAAAGCCATGCTCCTTCAGGTGGCCCATCGCCTGTGAAGTCGGCAGAGTTCGTGTGTTTCTTGGTGCTGTTTCAAGCAACTCTTGCAACAAACCAGAGGGGAGTCCAAAAAGGGGACCCCCAAATCATCCAAAAATGGCCATGTTTGGTCCCCTATTTGGAGAAACACGCAAACTTTGGTACAGCTTCTGGGTGTTCGACACCAACAACAACGCTCGCAAAATAGACCGACTGATCCGAAGTGCACCTTGGCAATCTCCTCAGTGCTCATTTGCATCACCCCGGAGTTCTGGGGATCATCAGCATAGGGTTCCAACCTTAGGCCACAATAAGCCATTCGGCTGCAGAGCTGCAGAACGTGTCCAGACCCGGAGCTACAGCAACCTACAGTACATCTGTCTGGTGAGTCCAACCAAAGTCGTGGTCTCCGGGACACGCCGCCCCCCAGAACGAACACACCACCTCTTTCGCCGGACCCCCCCAGGCTGATCCACCAGGGCACATGGCCGCAGTCTTAGCGCCGAGTCCTCCATCCGTCCAGATTTTCGCGCGGTCGCATGAGAGCAGTCCGGACGAGTGGAACTGGGCAGGAACGGAGCAGAACGAACGGGAAGAATGGACACCGAAAGGGAAAGGGAAGAGGTGAATTTCTTCTGTTTCATTCATGTGTATATGTACAATGTGTCTATGGTACCTCCGCCGGAACCCATCATTGCAATTTATACTGTTTTGGGTGCCTTTTTGAGACTTCTATGGAAGGGGGGTGCCATATATGTAGTTGCTTCTGGTGTGGTGGCGTGACGTGATCTGAAGCTGATCTGGTGTGGTGGCGTGTTGTTTTTTCAGTGATCTGAACTTGGGAGTTCTCGAATCTGGACACGAACTAGTTCCATGAACTAGTTACCTAGTTCCCAGAAACCGGTCCAACAATCTTCGTTCTTCGTTCCCGGGAGGAACTAGTTCAAACCAGTTCTTGTCCAGACCCCAAGAATTCCAAATACTATGGAGTTGAAACACCTAACACCTGCCACTGCAGGTGCGCGTACTTACGCATACCTCGTATCAGGTCGCAAACTCTCTAATGGCTTTGACTACTCGCTCCTTCAGACACGAACTTCCTCATTCATACTGGTGCACTTGATATAGTCGACAAAGAGGACTGTGGACAGTCTAAATGGTACGTAACCTCCAATATTGGTGCTACTTGTTGGTGCAATTCACCTTCATGTCACTGTTTCTAAACCTCCCCCCCTCTCTCTCTCTCTCTCTTTCTCTGGTTTTTCAGGCCTTGGCTGCAGGTCTTTGGCGTGTGACGCCGCCCGCGCCTGCTTGGCCTTGGGCGCAGTGCTTCCCACATCTTGCCAGGCCACGGTGAGGAAGACCCGGCAAGGTAGCTTGGACTCATCTGCCAGGCTGCCATAGGCCTCCCAAGGCCTGACAGATGTCTTTCTTGGTCTGAAGGTCGCCGAATTCCGCCCGAATTCCGCCGACGAAACTGCGCGTCTGTTGACTACACTGACTACACCACCGAAGCCTTCCAGGTGGAGCAGGGTGGAGCGGGGTAGGTACCACCTTTACACAGTACAAAACGAGAAAAAGCCGCCCAAAACGGAACATAAGAACATGTACACCAAACGTGAAATCAAACGAACCGGCATTGCAAGTGCCAGAATGAACGGTGCTAAAAGCACCATGATGATCATGATGGGAGATAACAAGACCTGTGATTAGAATCCATGGGACCAAGGGTGTGGCCGTTCACCTGGAGCAGCTTTGAGCCATCTTTGGACAGGTCTGCTTGAGCTGAAGCTGCTTAGGTCACCCCACCTAGAGATGCCACCCAAGAGCTTGCTGTCGTTGGACTGGACAAATGTCACTCCATTCCTTGGCACCAAAAGGCGATGTGTTCTCTGCGATCTCCAAGACATGCGCCGCTGTTGATGCAAGGAGCTCCATGTGCCGATTGCCGAAAAGAAGATGGTGAAAGATCCATGGGTTGTTGGAGGGAGAAATGAAAGATTGCTCAAAACATGGAAGAGACTTTGGGGAGACACTTGGGGCAGCTCTCCCTCCCTCTCTTTGGTGCCTTTGTCTTTCGAAAATTGTGTCGCATGCAACGGGGTCTTTCGGTGGCCATGGTCAACACAAATCGCATCCAGGTGGCTCTACACAAAGCTTCAAACCTCTTAGCAGGTAGTCCTTCTGCACTTCGAAGGACTCCTCAGGCAATGGTTTGGTAAGGTCTTGTTTGACTCCGGGGTAAGTCGGGTGAGTGAACAGCATGGTACACTTTGAAGACCGTGGTACGCTTCCTTTCGTACGGTTTCCCGTCTCCAAGGAGGCGCCCCGAAATGACGTCACACGGATTGAACTCTCAGCCGACGCATCAAAACAAATGGTGGACCATCTGCATCTGATGCAAACCACCGTTTTTGACTCAAAAACAATCCCTCAACTCACCAAGTGAGATCGACTTCAAGACCGACTCAACTCGTCTCCTCCTGGTTGGTCAAGGGTTCCAGCAGCTCCAGTGCTTTCTCGCGCAGGACACCAGTGGGTTCGTGAGACGCATCTCGTTCGATGACGCCGCCCTCTACATCCTGCATGAGTCCCGGAAGCCCAGGGACTGCCCGAGGGCGAAAATGCGAATGATGTTCTCTTTTTGCCCGCTCCCCCCCTTCCCGCTTTAATTAAGAAGGCACCTACTTAATTAAGGGAGAAGCTAGTAATAGTAGCTTCAATAGCTACTACTTAGGACGCAGGATAGCTCACGCGCTAATGATTTGGTTCCTAGACTTTTAGGGAAACTGAACTAGTAGCTTCTTGACTAAGTCTTCCAGGTGGGATACTTATGGCAATGTACAAGGAACAAATGCCCACACATCCCCTCAATTGAACAGGCCCTTCCAGCAACCACCACACTCTTTTGATGGCGCCTGCCTCAGTGTCTGCTGTGATGGAACAGATCTTCAGGGCAGCAGAGTTCAACACCGCCACGTGGTGGCATCGACGATAGAAGATGGCCGGTGTCTGGACACTGGCATCCAGGTCGCTCCTCTACCAGGAAAAGGCCCCAAAAAGGATCCAACACCGCCAGAAAAAACAAGACTGGATGACATGTTGTGGCTCAGCTTCTTCTCTTCGAAGAAGCTGAGCTCATGTATTTTCAGGGATCCTTCGGAGAAAGCTAGCAAGTGTCCAGTCATTGTAGGCCTGTCATCTGCACTGCGCACACCTATAGCATTGAAGTCATTGGCAAAGTGGCATGTCGAAAACCGTTGAATTCCCTGTTTTTAGGTGACCATCGTGAAATCTTTGGCGCCAAGACCACTATATTGCTGTGTAAGTGGAACGGCCGTTACATGCACAAGTTCTAATTACGATGTCTTACGTGGTGTGCCCCGTGCTGTCCAGATTCACCAGTTCGGCTTGTGAGAAGTCGTGGAACTTTGCTGAATCATGGCAACAAGACCGCTACTAGAACGGTTATATAGATCTTGGATGTTATCCCGATCTGAGCACTGGCATCTGCATCTGTGGTCCAAAGACCTCAACTTCAAAGCCATTGATTCGGCAGAGTTATTGCTCAAACTGTTGTTTAGCGAGCATTTATACTTTAAACATTTGGCTGAAGGAGTGGCCAAGGTCAGGGAAGGACTGCCCTGTATCTCTCCAGCCATGATTCTGGGACCAAAATCCAATTCTCTTCTTCTTCTTCTCAGTCCCTAGTGACTAGTGATTTGAAGAGCAATCACGCTTGGCACAAATCCTTGCATAACTATGAAACTTGTTGAACATATATCCCAAAATTTGTATATCCATGTCCTAACTACGCATCACAACATATCGATATGATACACTTCTTCAACATCCAGTGTCGGACCCTCCCCCACGCCTGGTGGGTGTCCGGCCCAAGAGATCTTGATCCCAACCGAGACCCTCCAAGTACCGTTGCGGAAGCGTCGCATTGGGGACAGTGGCGTCGTCTGTCGCTGGAGTGGTCGCTTCTTCATGCTCCCGAGCCCTGCTTTGGAGCTCCTCCATGGATTTGCAACCCTCCAGGTTCACCGAAGTGGTGGCCTTGCCCAGAGCAAAAACATGCAAGTGACTATCGGCTAAACCAGGTAGAACGGTGCGACCCTCCAGATCCAAAACATCGCCATCCACGTTGGGCGGATCGCCAGAGCCAATGGATTTGATGCGACCACCTTCAGCATGAAGCCAAGTCGTCCTTTTCACGACTCCCCCACCGTTGCAGCTCAAGATGTGTCCGTTTCGAAGCAACAAAGACATGGCCTGTCAATGAGGAATTGCAGAGACAACATTGCTTGAACCAACGTTTCAAGTCGACAAGGATTGTGACCATCACACAGCATCGAAACATACTCGTGGCCAGAATCTGAAAGATTGACGACTAACCAGTGTGGCAACTACCCTACTTAGCTTTAATAAGTCAATCTGCTTCCTTGCTGAAATCTTCCGAACTGCCAAGGCTTTTCCCAAGCAAAGCCTCTGTGACCCTCTGTGACCCTCCCAACGAACGCCAGCGCCAGCTGGCGGCCGAGCAGAAAACGCCTGCGCCACCGCACGGTTCACCGGTGCAGAGGTGGAGCGCACCGCCAGGCGGCAGAGGCTTTGACCGCCCTGAAGCGAGGTGAGTCCAGTGAGCAGGTTAAGCAAGCAGTGCTCTGGTTGAGTGCTCTGGTTGAGCAATTGGAACCTCCACTGGTTGAGCAGAATTCCAAGTTGTTGCTTTCTTTGAAACCAGGTTTTTGTGAATCCACCACAACATTGTGGTCATTCTGTATTCTTCCTCCATGAAAGGAACATCCATTTCTTGAGCTTCTCAAAGTACGGGACTCCATGCTATGGCTCAAAAAGAATGCACGTCTTCATCTCGCCCTTGTTTTCAGATTGCCATGGACTTGAGAACACCCGAGGCAATGACAATCCAGGTAAACTTCAAGATAGATTGCACCAAAGTGATCCAAAATGCACTTTCCCTCGGCCAAGCAAAGATCCTTGCAAGAGATAGATGACCCTGTTGCTGCACTGCTGCCAGTATCAAAAAGGCTGCGAATTTACTTGTGGATGTGTTTCTACGTTTTGGATTTTATGTTTTTGTGCGTGTTTGTTGATGGTTTATGTCCTTTTCCAAATTCCTTTTCCTTTTTTTGTGTGTCGGATATATCTTTTGGCTTAGCTGGAGGAAGGAAGGAAGGAAAGGAAAGGAAAGGAAAGGAAAGGAAAGGAAAGGAAAGGAAAGGAA